CACTGTTCTAAAAAACCTCCGCCTAGTCCGCTTAGGCGTACGCCTAGGCGGTACCTAGGTCGTACCTAGGCCGCCTAACTAGCGCCTAGTGCTTAGGTGGTATTTAGGCTGCCCATCTAGATTTTATGAGCGTTTAGGGGATCATTGTTTGCTTACGTGGATTGCACCATGTAGGCCTTAGTTGTGATTTTATGTGTTGTAGCCTACACGTCCTCCAAACTCTATTAACCTCCAAATATGAACACATTCACTACCTCCTCCGACCTTTAGCAAAATCTTATCGACCACCACTTAAATGAAGAAAGAAATCTGCCTAGACACTAGTCCGGCATCTAAGCTTTCTATAACATTAACATTCACTATCAATTATTATAATTAAAAATAAAAAAAGAAAACATCATAAGCTCTAGCCTTGTAATTATTATTTTGGCTATTTAGTATCTAAGTATGCATGATTTATTGTGGAACTAAGATTGCTATCTTTTTTTAAAAATTTATATGAATTTAATACATATTTTTATTAATTATTATAATTAAATAAAAATTTATATGAATTTAATACATATTTTTATTAATTATTATAATTAAATAATTTAAAAATAGTCAAACGCTTAGGCGCTGCCTAGGCGTACGCCCAAGGGTCTAGGCGCTAAGCGCTCGCTCAAATACCTAGTCTGCCTAGCGCCTTCTGTAACATTGCCGAGCTCCCCCGATCTCTGTAACTACTAACAAGATAAAAAGTACTTCTTAAATATCTATTTAAGTTAGTTAACAACAGTAGCTTAAACTTAAGAAGTGTAAATTAACAATAAACTTAAGTTTAAGTTTAAGTTTAAGTTAAACTTAAACTTAAGTTTAAGCTAACAATAAACTTTAGTTTAAGTTTAAGTTTTTTGTTGATGGTAAACTTAAGTTTAAATAAACAGTAAACTTAAGTTAACAATATTTTAGTTAACAGTAAACTTAAGTTTAAGTTTATTGTTAACTTAACTTAAGTTAACAATATTTTAGTTAACAGTAAACTTAAGTTTAAGTTTATTGTTAACTTAAACTTAACAGTAACTTAAGTTTAAGTTTATTGTTAACTTAAACTTAACAGTAACTTATAAGTTAACAGTAATTTGAGTTAAGAATGAGTTTTTCACTGTTGAGATGAACTTATAATTTGCGTTGAGAAGTATAAACATACAAAGAGCTATTGTAATTAGTAAACCAAGCAATTTAGTTAATAGTGTTGGTATTTTAGTATTTATGCATATTTGATTAAGTATATATATATTTATTTTCAAGTATCACAATTAAAAAATAAAAAAAAGCCCAGAAACCGCTTAGGCGCTCGCCTAGGCGACTAAGCGCTAGGCGCCAAGTCTGACGCCTAGAACCGCCCAGTGTTTAATGTAACATTAGTAGTAATAATATTAGTAACTACAAAAAATAAAACGTCTTCAATTGCACACCACCTGATGTTGCCTTTTTGTTTTAATTTAGATGGTAATAGTCTTTTTTTTTTAAGTTAGCCGATGGCAGAGGTAACTTTTTGTCGTGTGGTTCACACGTGGCTAACTTCGAAGATAATGTTATCTGGACTTTTAAAGGTGTAGGTGCTAATATAATAGTTTAGAGGGTACAAATGTCTACACCAGCAATTGGCCCTATTCGAACGTATCGATTATTTCTTCTCACTGAAGCTTAAATTGGATGTCGCTTTGTTCAGATACTCGAAAGAGATACCGGATGCTTACGAGAGACTTCTACTCGACGCAATCGAAGGGGAACGGAGGTTGTTTATTCGTTCGGATGAACTGGATGCTGCTTGGGAGCTCTTCACTCCTCTTCTCAAAGAATTAGAGGAGAAGAAGATTGCACCAGAGCTGTACCCTTATGGAAGCCGAGGCCCTGTTGGTGCTCATTACCTTGCCGCCAAGCACAATGTTAGATGGGGTGATCTCAGTGCAGAACACAATAAAGGATTGTGACTGCAGAGGATCATGATGTTGATGACGATTGTATTGTTATTCGCTTTGTTGTTCAAGGATTGCGAGTTATTTTGATTTACACATGAATAAATGTTTGTGGGAGATGGCGGGAGATGGAAGAATAATCAAACAGTTCATGGTAGTTTAGAATAATAAAACAGTTCAACAGTCGTTTTCGTGTGAAATTTTGATCATTGTACCCTTGTTATAGTAGCATTACATTATGATTAGGGTTTATAGAAGGATGCGCTCTTAAATTTCATGTATTTTTAGTTTGGGTTTTTGAAATATTGGTGACCTGAATCTCATCTATTTGGATATAAGGCTCCCAAATCATCATATTTGCATGCAAGGCCCCCACATCTCATATAGGTGGATGCAAGTAGGGGTGACAATTAATGACCCGACCCATCAACCCGACCCGTTTATAATAGGTATGGATTGAATTATATGGGTCGGGTCATAAACGGGTCAACCCAAAGTTACCCATTTATTAAACAGGTTGACCCGCCTGACCCGTGTAGGGCAGCGCACGCGACCTTGTAAGCCTTGTCGGCAGCTCCAACGTCATAGACGTCGATTCCATCGTCATCATCGCCGACTATATTCTGATTATCCTGATTTTGGTTTTGCTGACTGTTCTGGTTGGAGGCGGCAAGCTCAGAGGCGGCGATGGCGGCATCGATGTCGGCCATCAGGGTTTCCGACGAGGGAGTCGGAGGGAAGGGCTTCACCGTGTCGAACACGCTCCAGGTGATCTTGCCGCTGCCGCCCTTCTCATATTGTTTGTGGGGGAGAAATTAGGGTTTTCGATTTGGGGACAAACTTCACGTTGATGGGATTTGATTTTGCGTGCTTATTTGCCTATGTTGCCCCCACAAAACTACACTATTTGCATAAGCAAACACCGTCCCAAATCGTCTCCGAAAAAAAGCACCAAAAAAATTCTAGCTCCTACTCGAGCTCAGCCATGGCGGACTCCGTAGTGAGTTTTGTGATCACGCGTTTTGTTTTAAGTTATTGTTTTGCACAAAATCCCCTGAATGTTGTGGGTTTTGCACAATGGCCCCCCAAATCCTTAAAATACAGAAGCCTCCATGAACTCATCTCATTTAAGCATCATGACTGACAAAGGTCATTTTAGGTTGTCATATGAGACCGATTCTTGGATAATGTTACCCCATAAAATTAACCTATTGACGAGAATTTCCAATAGTGCAGGGAAGTTTAGTATAATTTTTGAACGTTCAGAGGGTTTTAAAGGGATTTATTGCCAAAAACACTGTCCCAAAGTTTAGGAGATTTTGCAAGATTTACCCTTAAAAATAATGGAAACAATAGCTGCTTCAGGATATTTCCAATCAACAAACAGTGATATCCACCAACAAGATTGTAAGCTTTGGTGAACCTCCAGAAGAAATCTGAGCCATTGACACCTAAAAGGAAGAGTAAGCTTGGTATTTTTTATATGGGTCGGGTTGGGTAACCCGTTTAATAAACGGGTCGGGTCACATTGACTTATTTATTAAACGGGTCGGGTCGGGTCACACTTATACGGGTCGGGTCAACTATGACCCAACCCGACCCGACCCGTTTGCCACCCCTAGATGCAAGTGCCCTTAGTCTCATATGTTTTGGATGCAAGACCCCCAAATTATCATATTTGGACACAAGTCGCCCAAAACTATTAAGTTCTTTAAAGCAAGTCCTGATGCTTAATTATTAGGGAAAAATGTGTCCAGGCCCCAAAATGAGAAAGTTCATGTGACCCGCCCCCTTGTATTTTGGCCCATGTGATTCAGCCCCAAAAAGTACCAATTAATATTTCAAGGCCCCTCCACGTCAGCAGTATAAAAAAAGAGATTGTATTTTGAAAAAAAACCCGAAATTACCCCTCCACTTATCTTCCCCAGACGTCTGGTCCACAAAATACATGGAAAGTCACGCCCATTAATGCGATCTGATGGAAAAAAATAGAGGGAAATTTCCCGCCCTTTTTTTAACTCTATCATGAGCAATAACTCATGTTAGTTCTAACTTATTTAATGTTAGTTATAACTTATTTTATGTTAGTTCTAACTTAGTTCTATTTCATGTTAGAGCTAATGTTAAGTAGAACTAATATAAATACTTTAGGCTATTTGGTCTAGTGGTAAACCTTATTTTATATTAGTTCTAACTTATTTTATGTTAGTTCTAACTTAGTTCTAATTCATGTTAGAGCTAACTTTAAGTAGAACTAATATGTTTATACCATGTTATAGTGGCTATGTTAGTTCTAGTTAAGCTCATGTTAGTTCTGGTAGTTCTCATGTTAGTTCTAGTTGATTTCATGTTAGTTTTACTTCCAGCTAGTGTTGGTTCTAATATAAGCATTAGTTCTAGTGACTATATTAGTTCTAGTTGAGCTCCTGTTAGAACTGACACGATACCTATTAGAATTGATACTAGAGAAGCTAGAACTAATACATCATCAAGTAGAACTAATATGGCGTTTAGACCTAACAATTACGCTAGAACTAACGACTTAAATAAATTAGAACTAACACGATACCAGTTAGAACTAACACTGGAGAAGCTAGAACTAACACATCATTAAGTAGAACTAACATGGCGTTTAGACCCAACAATTATGTAGAACTAACAACTTAAATAAATTACAACTAACACGATATCTGTTAGAACTAACACTAGAGAAGGTAGAACTAACACGGCATAAATTAGAACTAACATCGCGTTTAGACCTAACACTTACGCTAGAACTAACGCATTAAATAAATTAGAACTAACACGATACCAAATAGAACTAACACTAGAGAAGCTAGAACTAACACATCATCAAGTAGAACTAACATGATGTTTAGACCAACAAGTACGCTAGAAATAACGCATTACATAAATTAGAGCTAACACGATACCAGTTAGAACTAACACTAGAGAAGGTAGAACTAATATAGCATAAATTAGAACTAACATGACGTTTAGACCCAACACTTACGCTAGGAATATCACATTAAATAAATTAGAACTAACATGATACCTGTTAGAACTGACACTGAAGAAACTAGAACTAACACATCATCAAGTAGAACTAACATGGCGTTTAGAACCAACAATTACGCTAGAACTAACAACTTAAATAAATTAGAACTAACACGATATCTGTTAGAACTAACATTGGAGAAGCTAAAACTAATATGGCATAAATTGGAACTAATATGACGTTTAGACCCAACATTTACGCTAGAACTAACGCATTAAATAAATTAAAACTAACACGAGCTGGTAAAAATTAGAACTAACATAAGCTGGTAAAAATTAGAACTAACATGAGCTGGTAAAAATTAGAACTAACATGAGCTGGTAAAAATTAGAACTAACATGAGCTAACTCTAGTTATTTATGCCATTTTTTAAATTCTATCATGAGCTAACTCATGTTAGTTCTAACTTATTTCAAGTTAGTTCTAATTTATTTCATGTTAGTTCTAACTTATTTCATATTAGTTCTAATGGCAAGTAAGAGCTAACTTTAAGTGGAACTAACATTAATACTTTGGCTACTTGGTCTAGTGGTAAAGCTTGGTAATTTGGAGAGGAGGTCAAGAGTTCAAACCCCTACACCTACAATATATATTTGAAAGTCTTTGATTGGGCCTTGGGCCTTGGGACTCTTGGGCTCTTTGTTAGTTCTAACTCACTTAAAGTTAGTTCTAACTTGCTCTTTGTTAGTTCTAACTCACTTAAAGTTAGTTCTAACTTGCTCTTTGTTAGTTCTAACTCACTTAAAGTTAGTTCTAACTTGCTCTTTGTTAGTTCTAACTCACTTAAAGTTAGTTCTAACTTGCTCTTTGTTAGTTCTAACTCACTTAAAGTTAGTTCTAACTTGCTCTTTGTTAGTTCTAACTCACTTAAAGTTAGTTCTAACTTGCTCTTTGTTAGTTCTAACTCACTTAAAGTTAGTTCTAACTTGCTCTTTGTTAGTTCTAACTCACTTAAAGTTAGTTCTAACTTGCTCTTTGTTAGTTCTAACTCACTTAAAGTTAGTTCTAACTTGCTCTTTGTTAGTTCTAACTCACTTAAAGTTAGTTCTAACTTGCTCTTTGTTAGTTCTAACTCACTTAAAGTTAGTTCTAACTTGCTCTTTGTTAGTTCTAACTCACTTAAAGTTAGTTCTAACTTGCTCTTTGTTAGTTCTAACTCACTTAAAGTTAGTTCTAACTTGCTCTTTGTTAGTTCTAACTCACTTAAAGTTAGTTCTAACTTGCTCTTTGTTAGTTCTAACTCACTTAAAGTTAGTTCTAACTTGCTCTTTGTTAGTTCTAACTCACTTAAAGTTAGTCTGTGCAAGGAATGTTGAAGGAAGCAGCAATAATTTTCTTTCAAATACTAAAGAGGGGATTTATGCCAGATGCCGTAGCATACTGCAGTTTGGTCGATTGCTTGTACAAGCATGGCAATCTAATTGCTGGGTTTAAACTTTATAATGTTCTCATAAAGAAGGTAGAACGAACAGAACTAACATGGCAGCGAACAGAACTAACGTAGGAGATAACAGAACTACCATGAAAGCGGGTAGAACTAACGTAAGAGATGACAGAACTAACATGAAAGCTGGTAGAACTAACAGTCCAGTCCTTAGAACTAACAGTCCAGCCTTTAGAACTAACAGTTCAGCCCTTAGAACTAACATTCCAGCCCTTAGAACTAACATGACAGCCCTTAGAACTAACATTCATAGTTCTAATTTTCTTTGTCCCCTCTTTCAAATTCACAGTTTCTTAGATTCTTTAGTCGACTTTTAATCACATTATCTTCAACTTTTAGCTAAATGTCGACATGCCTGAAGATTCAATGTGAGCTTTTGAAAATTTCTGCTGTTAATCTCTTATACAGAACTCTGTCAATCACCAAATCACACAAGAAAAAGGCATTAAAGGAAAACCCAAACCGCTGTTCAAGAATCCAAGGAGATCCCATTTCAATTAAATGAAAGAGAAAAACTACAAAAATCCAATATCGATTCCCTTCATAAATTACAAGAAAACAAGAGCACTATCTTGATTAAGACATTGATTTGGGTAAAGATATTCCGTAACTTAGAAAGGGGAGAACAACGATGCATCGGACCAAAGCTCCGGGCTCCGTCAGCTCGCCGGTCCCACCGGACCATGTTCCGTGTTTGTCGTTGAACCCGCGTTCATGAGCTGTTTCCAAGATGACGCCCCGACCTCCGACTCCATGATCACCGTCCTCGCCTTCGCCTTCCACGACCTCCCCAGGGTCTGATTATTTTCAGTGGCCATGACGGAACTGGGAGAGAAGGAGAAGTTGAGAGATAGAGGGGGGAGAGAGAGAGAGAGAGAGAGAGAGAGAGAGAGAGAGAGAGAGAGAGAGAGAGATGGGATGGGGTTAAAGGGATGGACGCAGTTACCAAGCTCAATCAAATCAAAGGGTAAATTTGTAACTTTTGTTGGGCTTTTCTCAGGATCCGATACTTTGGGGCCTTAACATAAATACAGTGTGTATTTGGGGCTTATACACATGGGTCAGAATACAAGGGGGCGGGTCACATGAACTTTCCGAAACGGACACTTTTGGGGCCTTGTATTTTTCCCTAATTATTATCCACTTAACATAAATTAATTAATGAGATAGCTAATTTTCTTATTTCATTTTTCTCCTTGTTTTCTACCTACCTTTTGGCATTGTCAAAAATTAGGTTCAATGTATCCTTTGAACCCATTGGAAACCAATTCTATTTTGCTTAACTTTCTTAAATCTTAGAGTTAATTTCTAATAACTTGTTAGTTTAGTTGGGTTACGTAGGTGGAAATTAAACATGAGTACTTATTTCAAAGAACTTAGTATCCAAATATAATGATTTAGGGGATTTATGTCAAAATAGATGAGATTAGGAGGATTGGTATCCAAATATAATGATTTGGGAGATTCGTATCTAAATAGATGAGACTTGGGGGAACCAATATCTCAAAGACCTTTTGCTCATGTTTGGTAAGGGGTTAATAGAAGGGTTAAGGGCGTTAACCCCTCCTTAACCATCCAAACAGGTTAATTTGATCAAAGAGTTAACAAACTCTTCACAATGGTTAAAATTAGTTAACCCTCATTTAGATAAGTTAACAAATTCGCCTAAAGAGGAGGATTAAGAGTTACTCCCTCTCGAAATAGAAAACAAAACTTCAAAAAAGAATATATTTCAGGATCGATATTTATGACAACCTTCTTAACCCTTCTTTACTTATCAAACACATAAAACTTAATCCTTAATCTTGACTATCAAATCCAAATGAAATTAATTTTTTAATCACTCATAATGAATTAATTAAGATGCTCCTTCCTCTTAACCTTATTTTCTAAGCAGCACCTCTTAGTTTTTTGCGTAATGTTTATCTTCTAGGTCACAAGACAACCTTGTCTGGATATTTCATGATCTACCTTCAACAAACTGTTTTTGGATATATAATAACTCAAGCAGTGACTGAACTTTTAGTGGGGCAATCCTACAGTGTGATCGACTTTCACAAATTGTCTACAGTTGTAAATATATTTGTTTCCTCATCATGGCAATGACGCATTTTTGGGGGAGGGGGTGGGTGGGGGGGTGGTTTTTTTTTTTGTGGGGGGGTGGGGTGGGGGGGGGG